AATGCCTCAATAGGGAAAAAAATCGCAGAGCGAAGGGCAGTAAGCGGTTCACTTACCGACCTTCGCTTTGCGACCTGCCGATCAGCTGTTCGGCGGCTACAAAATGGCTGCCGGAAGCTGCAAAATGGCCGCGCGCAGTGTTTTCGTACCCTCGTTAAGCGAGGGGAGGGCGCAAAAATGGCTGCCGGCCATCAGAGAAACATTGCTTGAACGGTGAGTACAGCAGCCGATTGGAACGCATTAAACACTGTTTAATGCGTTCCAATGGGCTTTTCTGCCCCGCTTAGCGATGTTTTCACACACACTCATACATTCATATTTTATGGAAATATGTGGGCGAAATCCAGTTGCTGGTATCACTAGAGCAGGCCTGTTGAATCAGTGTCATTCACATCAGTCTTGACTTACAATTGAAAAACTTGTTCAATCTATTCTATCTGAAAATAGCAACTGGATTTATACCTGGGTCATCTTTTTTAAAGTAATGCATCTCTCTATCATTTAGCGAGGGTGATACACTCCCAAGTCTAAAAATCTGCAGATGAGAGGCATTCCAGTTTTTAAAACAAGGCAAATGCATTGATATATCCACCAGTGTGTCTTGTATTCTGGAAAGCTTGTCTACTCAGTATTACAACATGTTTTTTTTTTTTTAAATTAAGGTTGGCTTGCTAGGGATTCAAATGATCTGGACTCGAGATGCTGAAGAAGCTTTGACGAATGCAAAATATGATAAGAAAATAATGCAGAAAACGAACCAGTTTTTCCTGGACCTTTTGAACACTCTGATAGACATGACTACTAAGGATCTGAGTCCTGTGGAGCGCGTCAAATATGAGACCCTGATCACAATTCACGTGCATCAGCGGGATATATTTGATGACCTGGTAAACCAACTTTTTTTGGTTCTAAATTGTCATCATAGAAAGATGGCTGTATTTTCAACATGGTGTGTGCATTTGTGTTTATTCTACAAATACAATAGCTGAGGGCCCACATACTATTTTGGAACTTTCTTACCTGACCAATCTTGGCAATGTTGTCTTCATTGTTTTGTGCTTGTTTCCATTTGCCCAAGGATGATCGTGTTTTTATCTCTGACTCTTCTCAAGAGCATTATCGGTATGCTCAGCAGCAGCACCTATACAACCCTGTCCTCAACAAGAGTCTGCAACAGCCAGGCTCTTTCTACATGATGGATTCTCAGTATTTCTTCCTTATTTCTACTCCTCTGTCTGGACAGCTCATGCTGCAAGAGGAACCTCATTTTGGAGTGAGGTGGCCCCTTACTCTAGTAAAGAGCCACCTGTACTGGAATGAGGTGGCCCCTTACTCTAGTAAAGAGCCACCTATACTATAGAGCAGTGATCCCCAACCTTTTCCAAACTGTGGACTGGTTGAGGGAACAGGCTCCATGCGTGGGGTGGGGCAGGGCACCCCCCGTGCTCGTGGGTGGGTGAGGAGTGCTCACGGGTGGGCGGGGCGCACACTTGTGCATGCGGGGATGGAGTGGGAGTGTATGTGGCCCCTTACTCTAGTAAAGAGCCACCTATACTATAGAGCAGTGATCCCCAACCTTTTCCAAACTGTGGACTGGTTGAGGGAACAGGCTCCATGCGTGGGGTGGGGCAGGGCACCCCCCGTGCTCGTGGGTGGGTGAGGAGTGCTCACGGGTGGGCGGGGCGCACACTTGTGCATGCGGGGATGGAGTGGGAGTGTATGCACACATGCACAGATGGGTAGGGTGTGCTTATGGGTGGGCGGGGCATGCTCACCGGTGGGTGGGTGCACTCACACCCATACAGATGGCGGGGCACCCATGTGCACATGCATGGATGGGAGGGGAACACTCGTGGGTGGGTGGGGCACCCATGCACTGGTGGGTGGGGCATGCTTATGGGCAGGTGGGTGTGCACTCATGCATACACGGATGACGGGGCACCCATGCATGTGGGTGGGCTGGTTGTGCATGCGTGAGGGGAGTGGGTGTGGAGGGAGTGGGATATCTGTCTCTGCAGCCTGGTCCTGCCAAGCCCGTGGCCCGGTACTGGGCTGCAGACCGGGGGTTGGGTACCCTTGCTGTAGAGGGTCCACTTGCAAAGGAGGGCAGCGAAGGAGTTCAGGTGATGCTCTCTATCCTTCCGCAGGTCATTGCAGTCATGTTCATTATCATAAAGTTTGCTGCTTCTCATGTTTTGCTTGCAAAATGATCAGCAGCCCCCCTTCCCCCAGGGTTTCCCTCTGAGTCAGAAATGCAAACACAAAGGGGAAATCTGGTCACAACAGAATGAAGAAACATGCCCCTCATTGCTCTGACTGGCCCCATACCCATCTCTAGATGAGTATATTCAGAGATAGAGCTCAAAAAAGGCTAAGGAACATCCTTCCATTTCCACAAGGAAACAAGTGGTCCTGTCTAACTATATATCTCAGTGGGGTTGTTTGTTGGAGTGGAAAAACACCACTTCCTCATGGAATTTCATGAATACTCTTCCAGAATAAGGTGTGCATCATTAAGATGATGAAATAGCTAGTAATATATAACTCATCTCTATATGACAGCTGGAAGTGTTGTAAACCAGCCAGAACCCCATCCAGTCTCCTCCAGTGCTGTGGAGGAAGGAGTTTTCACAGAAAAAGTCCATGTAGGAGCCTCACAAGAATGTGAACATTTGGCACTTTCACTTTAGGCTGCGTATCTTAGAATCCCACCAACATTTTTGTCCGATCCGCTTTCTGGGTCTTTTATCTTTCTTGCATAAAAAAATCATGTCTGTTTGGATACACATTTTTCCAAATGCCACATTTCCAACATATTGGCTGAAATCCTGTTGCTTAGTGTAGTAAATTGCAACTGGAGTAGGCCCATTGAATCAATGGAATTTATGGAGGAACTGACCCATGAACTCTAGTTGTGACTTATTATGCTAAGCAACAGGATTTCAGCCAGTATCCCACATCGACTAAAGGGGGTATGTCTGCATTCTAAAACATACACATTTTCTTTGTGCTGTTTCATGAACAGTCTTGCAGACCACAAACTGCATATACAACCCCTCCTCCATCCTTAGTGTCAAGAATTATCTTTGTTTTCACAATAATTGCTTCCAACAAATGAACTGGATGCATGCCCATTCAGTATTGCCATAGTTCTTGATATATGACAGCCTGGTTTCTTGCTTCCAGTGCCGTATGCATATTAAGAATCCTACAGATTTCGAGTGGCTGAAACAATGCAGATTTTATTTCAATGAAGATTCAGACAAAATGATGATTAACATCACAGATGTGGCCTTCACTTATCAGAATGAATTTCTGGGCTGTACAGACAGACTTGTCATCACGCCTCTCACTGATAGGTGAGATACTTTTATGTTATTCAGGCTGCTTGATAGATTATATTAATATTATTCACCAGTTTCTTATTTGGTAGTCATATATTCTTATTCAGTGGATCACCCATGCCTTGGCTTGCAAGGTTTAGAAATCAAGAGTGAAAAGAACTAGTTCCCTCTGATATACTCCAGTTTTGGAGAATTTCTGATGACATCACATTAATTTTATTTAGCAAATAAAGAAGCTGTATTCCATTCTCCGGGATTCTACAGTACTATTGTTTTATAAAAGATCATTTCCAGATGTTTGATGAACTCTGAAATAGGGAGGAGAGGGGCTAGGCCACCAGTTCCCAAATGTCTATTTGCTGGATCCATTTCATATTAAATACCAGACCATCTGGGGTTCTGTATGATGCCTAACTGTCCCTTTCCATGTTACAGTCCTTTTTTCATCTCTCCCATTCCACTTAATAATAAAACTTAGGACATCTAAAAGGACCAGAGATGGGCACAAACCACAAAAATGGTGGTTCATGGGTATTCCCAAACCAGGAACCATCCAAACTATTTTTAAAAAACGAACCACAAACCGATTCATTTTTTTTAAAATTGTTCCTTGGGTGAGGAGCACAAACTTTCCCCTTCCCTTTGCCTGTTGCCTCCCTATGTGGTCCTGCCTCCTCCTCCTCCATCACTTTAAATGGGTGATCCAGCACCATGTGACCCCGATGTAGCACCCTGCAGTGCTGGATCACCCATTTACAGCCCCACAGCCTGCCCAAAGCCCCCATCGCCTCCCTATTTAGTCCCATCATGTCCTCCTCTTTCTCGTCCTCTGCCTCCTCCACTGCTACCATCTTAAGAGACATCAGCCAAGCTTCCTTTCCAGAAGCCAGGCCTGCTGTCTCTATGCATGCCCAGCTACTGGAAAGGAAGCCAGGACTACTGTTTCTCAAGATGGCAACAGAGGTGGAGGATGAAGAGGTGGCGGCAACAGGACTAGGTAGGTATGTGATGGGGACAGTGGAAGGGGGATGGCCATAACATTCTCAATAAAGAGATGTGCTCTCAGCAAAAGTGCAATGCGCACTGTTAGTGTGAGGAGGAGGATTATAATAAAACTATGCTGCCAATTAGAGATGGGCACAAACCACAAAAATGGTGGTTCATGGGTATTCCCAAACCAGGAACCATCCAAACTATTTTTAAAAAACGAACCACAAACCGATTCATTTTTTTTAAAATTGTTCCTTGGGTGAGGAGCACAAACTTTCCCCTTCCCTTTGCCTGTTGCCTCCCTATGTGGTCCTGCCTCCTCCTCCTCCATCACTTTAAATGGGTGATCCAGCACCATGTGACCCCGATGTAGCACCCTGCAGTGCTGGATCACCCATTTACAGCCCCACAGCCTGCCCAAAGCCCCCATCGCCTCCCTATTTAGTCCCATCATGTCCTCCTCTTTCTCGTCCTCTGCCTCCTCCACTGCTACCATCTTAAGAGACATCAGCCAAGCTTCCTTTCCAGAAGCCAGGCCTGCTGTCTCTATGCATGCCCAGCTACTGGAAAGGAAGCCAGGACTACTGTTTCTCAAGATGGCAACAGAGGTGGAGGATGAAGAGGTGGCGGCAACAGGACTAGGTAGGTATGTGATGGGGACAGTGGAAGGGGGATGGGGGACAGATTGCAGGGGTGGGGGGAAATGAACCAGGAAGTTTCTTAAATTGTAAAAAGGTTTGTGGTTCAGATTGGTTCTGATTTGTCAGTTTTGATCAACCCAAACCAACCCAAACCAATGAACTAGTGATTTTTAATGAACATCCTGGTTCATTTTTAAGTTTGTGCCCCTCATCAGTGACTGAAGTCACTGATTTGTGGCATGTGGTATTCATTCATAATATTGTGCAATAGGGTTTAGGAGGTGGAGTCTGCTATGGATCCATGAATGATCCAGGTATGCAGAATGAACTGTGAGCAAAACATTATAATCTGGTACTCCAGATTAATTCCAAATTATAATTGGGTGTATCTACCACCAATCACTATTACTTGGTACTGTTTGACTAAGATGCATAAAAATTAACACCTGCTATTTATCTGCGATTGTTTGCATCCTGCCTTCCCACCTAATGCTGAATAAGTACCTTGTTTGCTCATGACAGAAAGAATAAAATACAAAACAAAATGAATTGTGAATAAATATGTTTTTTTAAAAATAAAACTGAAAAGGTCAAAAACATATAGACCAACTCTGTGTCATTGCCATATTTATCCTATTTTGTGTTGACACTGTGCTGACAGATGGGTTCATGGATATGTGTTCTGTGTCTAACTAAAACAAATGCTGGTTCAGAGATATCCAGAGTGGATAACTTTTTTCACCTGGATAACCCCCGTTTACTGTAACTTCTGCATTTCTTAATTTCCATACCCAGAAATGCATTTCTCACATTTTAGTATTATTGCCTTGCTTTTGTATAACAGGTTTTAAGGCCTTCTCTTTGGGTGTAATGTTGAACAAGTCCTTTATTTGCAGGTGTTACATTACTTTGGCTCAAGCGCTGGGTATGAGCATGGGGGGAGCACCTGCGGGACCTGCAGGAACTGGCAAAACTGAAACAACCAAGGACATGGGGCGATGCCTTGGAAAATATGTTGTGGTCTTCAATTGTTCAGACCAGATGGATTTTCGAGGATTGGGGAGGATTTTTAAAGGTCAGGACACCTTCTGCTGTAGGAATGGTGACCTTATAAACTACAGCATTCATTTTCAAGTCATGATGCACTGAATTGTATGTTAATTTTGTATGTTAATGCTTTGTTTTGAGAAAAATGAGAAAATCAAAATGGACATTTTTTGGGTGGGGCAGGGAAATCGAATTGTTTAATTTTGCTGCTTCATACTACTTGCACTGTACATAAATGGGCATTTACTGAAAAGCTCAGAACCCAACTTTAGATGAAATTTTTAAGACTCTGGCTATAGTACTGCATTGTGCCCTCAATTAATGTAGTGTGATGTTTTCCCTGTTCTCGATAGTTATCCCGCTAACAGTGTGCTTAGACATAATTTGGCTAATATTCAAATCAACAATCCCACAAACTTCTGCATGCAGCTCATATGGTTTTCCTGTTCCCGAAAGTCCTTGGTTGACTCCTTTAATTATTGCTAGTGGTCTTATCACAATATAGCTGTAGGCAACAAAATGGTTCATTATAGGCAGTAATGTTCTATAATTAGAAAATGTGTATTACATTTTGTTATAATATTACAGAGATGGAAGAAGCCAAAGGCTATCTTGTTCTGCAACTGGCCATATGTGAGCCCCCTGAATGCAAGCATGAATGTTGCTACTTACAAATAACTATTTGCTTGTGTTAATTCCTTTTTGCAATAATAAAGCCATAATTAGGTTTCATTATAACTGCAAATTAATATGGGATAGCTTTATTCCTTTTATGACGTAACTCTTACTTTTCAGTTACTTTTGTAGCTATGAAGTTTGGCTGTATTAAAAGATGGAAGAGAAATATCACCATTCCCTCTAAGTTGTACTGGTGAATGGCTGTGCAGTGCTATATTGGTGCTGTACACTTGCAGTTAGTGTTGCAACCCATTTGATTCCAGTCGCAGAAAACCACCCTGTTTATCCTAGAGT